TATATATATATATATAAATTGTAATACTAATATATATATAAATAACTTAATATTAAAAAAAAGTTTAAAAAATTCAGGCAATTCGGGCGGGCTCGGGCCGCCGAATACAAGCCCGCGGCCCGTTCAAGGTGAAATTCGAGCTCGGGCGGGCGGCCCGAAAATCTCAGGCGGGTCGGGTTCGGGCTCGGACAAATCCTCAAGTTTTTCGGACGGTCGCGGGCGGCCCGTCCAAAATTTCAGCACTATATGTAACCTGTTTATCCTCGACCCGTATTCAATTTTTTGTTTTGTTTTGTTTTGTTTTTTTTTTTTAAAAACTCATCCTCTTTCATTTTTATATGTTTTCTGGGTCGACCCCGGTTTTCTCATATACCCGTCGCTCTTCTCCATTATTCGTTCTGGTTCTGACCCCATATTATCCTCAAAATTCTTTCCTCCCTAAAATACGTTCTTTTGGGTATTAAACCTAGGGATTGATTCATAAACCTTTTTCTTTTCCTTCTTCTATGTTAGATCTGAATGTGCTATTTTCCAAAACGAAATTTGGGAATTTTTTCCCATCAAAATTCTTTAGTGGGTCATTATCTGTTCGTTAGAAATTGATCTCCCGCAGCTGAATCTGTAAATAACAAAGTCACAGCTTCTGGGTGTCTTCCAAAATCCATTCTTCTTTTTTTCAGATTTCTCAAGAAAATAATAACACAAAAAAAAAAAAAAAATGGTGACAGTGAATCTGGGATTGCTCCATTACGTATTGGACCATGTTTACGGCGCATTCATGCACAGAACGAAGCTGAGCCCACCATTTTTCTCGCGAGGATGGGGCGGCTCGAAGCTCGAGCTTTTGGAGAGAATAATTGAGCAATTGTTCCCGGACATGGCGGGCCAGAATTGGCCTCCCGCTTCGATCCAACCCATTTGGAGAACGGTTTGGGAGAGCAGAACGGCTTGTTTGAGAGAAGGGGTTTTCAGAACTCCTTGTGATGAGCAGCTTCTGACGGCATTGCCTCCCGAGAGTCATATCGCAAGAGTCGCCTTTCTCACCCCGAAAGGCGTGCCTCCTCAGAAAATGGCCTGCGTTGTTCATCTCGCAGGTACACATACATACATACATATATATATATATATATATATACACACACACACACACATACATACATACATATATATATGTGTGTACATGTGTACTCTATATTGATGGGAAGTTTGTTGTTGTTGTTGTTGTTGTGATTTTCTTTTGTTCTCGCTGAATTAGTGATTCTTTGTTGAGGTTTTGAATGGACGATGAATTTGGTTTGATGGGTAGTTTTTGACAGTAGTTGTTAGGGAGGATTTGCTATAGTTCTGCATAGAATTCAGTGATTTTTCTTTCGCCAATGTAGGATAGCAAGTCATTGCCTTTTAAAAGATTTGGATTTTCTTCTCATTTTGTCTTACTTGTTGGGGAGTACTTAATGTAGTTTTGGATTTGTGAAGATTGGAGAGTTTAATGTTTTTCCACCCTGTTGTGCTTATTTATCCCAATGTAGTAGATGAAATCATTAGCTTGGACTGTTGGTATATGGGCTTTAGAGATAGGAAGTCAAGTGATAGATATTTATGCTTAGGGTATACTTTATAATGCTTTATTGCAGTTAAGAATCTGTAATATGCTTTTGTTGCAGGAGTTTTCCTAACACAATTTGGTTGTTCTTTGACTTAAAGTCATATGTTAGAGGTTACCCTCGAAAATTTGATGGTAGTTTAACACCTATCACTATCTGCAGGAACTGGGGATCACACTTTCGAGCGGAGGTTGCGACTTGGAGGACCCCTAGTAAAGGAAAATATTGCAACTATGGTGCTGGAGAGGTACAATTCATTTATACTAATTTCCACCTTAAAACCCAAATCTATTTTCCTGCATACTAGGCCTTTTACTTAAGGTAAAATATGTACTGCAGCCCTTTTTATGGACAAAGACGTCCTTTGCTGCAGCATGGCGCAAAACTCTTGTGTGTTAGCGACTTGCTTTTGTTAGGAAGCGCCACGATTGAAGAAGCCCGTAGTCTATTACATTGGTTAGACTCAGAAGCAGGGTTTGGCAAGATGGGTGTTTGTGGACTTAGCATGGGTAAGAGTTGCTTGGAATGGATCACTTGTTACGTGTTATACCTTTAGAAGAAATGCATCCTATCTAGGATCATCAATTTTGTGGGAATCTTCCACCGTACAAAAACTTTAAAAAAAGAACCCATTTTTGAGTAATCTGAGAGTATTTCAGAGTTGCGAAACTAATTTAACAATATTCACCCAAAGACGGGGAAAGTTTTCTTTTGGGTCCAAAAATTAAAATATTTTTATATAAATTAGGAGGAGTTCATGCTGCAATGGTTGGCTCACTTCACCCTACTCCTGTTGCAACGCTTCCTTTCCTCTCTCCACACTCCGCCGTTGTGGCATTCTGTGAGGGGATACTAAAGCATGCCACTGCATGGGAGGCACTGAGAGAAGAACTTGCAGTGCAGAAGGCTGCAATGACGCTCGAGGAGGTTAGAGAGCGGATGCGGAATGTTCTGTCTCTCACAGATGTCACGCGCTTTCCCATTCCCAAAAATCCCAATGCTGTAATATTTGTTGCTGCAACTGTAAGTATCTGTGAGATCACATAATCACCTAAAGTAACTTTGTATTTTGAGAAACCAATTATGAAGCTTGTAGAAATAAGCCTATTCCGGTTTACCCTTCATATGAAAACATATATTATATACAGAACTGAAGAATTTTTCAAGCACATTGCTCAGGAAGAGATAAATTACTTTTTATTTTTAAATAGAGCGCCGATATACGTTGTGTTAGTTTTTTAAAATGAGTTGTCTGTCTTATTTTAACCTTTTTAATGATCTCAATACCCTTTTCAACGAGTTCTTTCTGCGTATTCACTTTTAGTGCATCCATGGTTCAGGATGATGGATACATTCCAAAACACTCTGTGCTGGAGCTTCAAAAAGCCTGGCCGGGTTCAGAAGTGAGATGGGTCACCGGCGGCCACGTCTCGTCTTTCCTACTACACAATGGTGAGTTCCGCCGAGCCATTGTTGACGGGCTTAATAGATTACAATGGAAGGAGTCTCCATTGTGACAGTGGCCTCACATTAGACAGAGATTGCATATTTGTTGTCATGGTACACCTTGTTTACCTCTGCTCCTCTAAGTAACTTTGTACGATTTTTTGTAACAATTTAGAACACCCCATTAAAATAAAAAAGAAAGGATAAAAAGGTGTTTTGTGAATTATGTATAAGAGATCGTATCCCACTTTTTTTTTTTAATAATTGTTTCACTCTACTTGTATATCATCTTGGATTAGTTTTAGTTTTATTTTTTTATGCGAGTTCAAAGGGATTGATGGTGAATATGATAAATGGTTAACTCGTGGATGGGTACAAGTTTTGGTGAACGAGACTTTTCAATGGTTTAAGGAACGTTTGGTTCATAGATTAAAATTATTTTTGATTTACGTGTATTTTTTGTGAGAGAAAATACTGTAGCGAATCATGAACCATGATTTAAATCTTAGTATGAATCTCTATCGAACGTCTCATATTTTCGTTGCCAAAGTTTCAATGTGTTTTCTGCTAGTTATTGAAAGATAAATTGATATGCTTGGCTTTGGCTCACTTGACTTACGCTCTTTACTTTACTCGTCAAATTTGTCTGTCTTCTTGTAGTACACTCCACATTTTGATTTCATTATTATTATTTTTTTTAAAAAGCTCAAACATAATCTAAAAATTCAATCGTGCATGCCTATTATTCTCTTTGATGATATATTGATCTATAGTAGAAAGAAAACATAAATTATTTTTTATTTTTTTATGTAATAATATAAAGATTGGATCGGTGTTTTGAAGGTAAAATTAACATTAAATTCAGTCCAAATGGGTTTTGAAAAAATGACATCCAATTCAATTTAATTGAGGATGGTTATCCATTAAAAATGAATTAGATTGAATTAGATTGGTTGATTTGATGGCTGATTGAGTTTTGTTAACACTTCTACTCACGCAAAATGAGTCCATGGATGGGGTTTCGCATTGGGTGTGTATTGTTTCCCATCACTCTCTCCAACCTGTTCTCTCTCGGGCTTTTTCACTCACCTATGCAATCACCTTACAAAAGCAGCAGATTCTTTTGTCTTTCTCCCACAGGCATCAAATCATCCCAATGGATGGTTGCCTTCTGATTTTCAACCTTATCTTTTGGTTTTTATAGGGCACAACTAAGCAAGAAATATTTATGTCGTTTGTTTGTCGTTCTATTGTCCATATACCAAGTCAGAGCTTATTTAACTTTTGGAAGTTAGCAAGTTTTGACTATTAGATTTAGTTAAACTAATACCAATTTGAAAATATGTGTAAGATAAATATAGATCTAACAGTTAAAAATAAAACTGTTATAAAAAAAAATTTATTTTACCACGTTAGATGATAGATAGGTTCTACATGGCCATTGCGTAAGAGTGCTTAAGGGTCGGCGGTGAACCCACCCTCATGACGCCGAATTCAAAGCATCAGCTTTTCAAATTTTAAAGTTCAGCTGTTTTAAAGCGCCCACGATGACAATTGACCGTTCAAATGGCTAAGACAAAAATGGTTCCAAGAGCAAGGATCGACGAGGACGAAGGCTCTATCTGGACTTGCTATTCATATCAAGTGAAAGCGGAGAGGGCAACGCGATCAGTTATCTGACACAGATTCTGAGAAGACCCCCTAAGGCGGCAAGAGGAAAATTCCTAGGTTATGTACGGGTATAAACAAAGCCACTGGCTCGAGAAATTATTACTAGCCTGTTGGCCGTCCAAAATAGACCAATAGGAAATCACGGGGGAACCACAGAGCCACAATTCTCGACAAATTAGGTAGATGAACAATTAGAAAGGCACTGTAGAGCTGCAGTCTAGATGAGTAGGACGGTAGGCTACTCAAGAGCAACCGCAAGATAACCACTTGCCTCAGTTTTCTCCATTATGTAATCTGTGTCATATAAAAAGTGCATGGCACAAAAGAGAGAGAGAGAGACTCGTACGAACATAAGAGAACATAATTTCTTGTAATCAAAAGAGAAAAAAGAAGGAAGAGAGAGAAGAATTTCTCAAGATGAATGTAGCTTTTACATTAAGAATGAACCACTATAAATTTTAGTGTTCTTATCGTTTCTTTTAGTTTCTTTCATGAAGAACTCCAACACAAAGTCCACTAAGCACATGCAGAAACCATTACATTCTATCTATCGAAGTTAAGTGGATATAAAGTTGTTATTCTCATGTGATTCAACCAGTAATTCAACTTATTATTAGATGGTAACCATGTATATTTCTATTGATGAAATTCTACGTCAATAAAAGTGATAGTTTATTTTTTCAAGCGAGAAACTAATCCCTTAACTTTTAATCAATTGTTTTCTTTTGAATTGACGTAATTAAATCGAGCTTTATTAAATTTTTGTTAAATTTTTTTTTTCTTTTTTTTTTTTTTTTTTTTTTTTTTTTTTTTTCCAGTTTGAGTTGAAACCTCCACTTGTAAATGGTGGAGGGCCCAAACTGGGATCAAGTCAGGCGTTTTTACATATTAGAAGAGCATTATTATTACACAATACAGTCGTAGCCATATTTCAGCAAAACAATCTCAATTACCAAAAGATTTAATGCATACTAAAATTTCATTTATTTTACCAATTTAAATTTAGAATTCAAATTTAATTACAGTAAAAAGTTTTTAAAAAAAGTAACATCTAACTTTTGTATTATAGTAAAAAGCTCACATAAAGTTAAATCTCAACTCGAATTAAAAACTAAAATCAGCAAACAAATGAGACCTTAAACCCCATTCATTTCACTAATTTGAGTTTAAAATTTGAGTTTTACTACAGTAAAAAGCTCTAAAATCCCATTCATTTCACTAATTTGAGTTTAAAATTTGAGTTTTACTACAGTAAAAAGCTCTAAAATCCCATTCATTTCACTAATTTGAGTTTAAAATTTGAGTTTTACTACAGTAAAAAGCTTTAAAAAATAATTATATCTAATTTTTTTATTACAATAAAAAATTCTTACATAAAATCATATCTTAATTCAAATTAAAAATTTAAATTAGCGATATTTGTGATGGAAAATGCTATTTTATTTTAATGACAGAATTGTATTTTAATTATTTGATTAGTTTTTCAAGAGTGAGATGTGAAGTAAGAGCAATCTTGTATCGCAGGCTATAAATTTACGCAAAATTTAATCGTTAAAAAACTAATGTCGCGATTAAAAACAACAATTCCTACATAGAACAAAATAAAGATTCATTTCTTTCAAAAACGTCCAACATTAGCAGCTCTTTACAAGCGGAGCACCGCACAAGCACCAGTTTTCAAAATACGCCGAGTATCCGAACCTCTGCAACTCCCCGCCCACCGGAATCTTCCCACACAACCTATTGTAACTCACATTCAGCTTCTGTAACTTCAGCTCCGTCAGCCCCACCGGGATACTCCCCGTAATCTTATTATGGTTCAAGTCCAACCACCTCAAACTCCTCGGAAACTCCACCTTCCACAGGTCGAACTCCAAATAGTTCCTCGACAGGTCCACGCCCCGGGTCGTCTTCCGCGTACCGAACAAAAACGACGCGTCGCCTTCGAGCTCGTTCCTTGAGAGGTCCACGGCGGCGAAGTCCTTCTTCCCCAATGAGGCCGGTATTTTCCCAGAGAGCTGGTTGTGGGACAGATAAAGGTAAAAGTCATCGCCGCGGAATTCTCCGAAAGAGTCCGGGATCGGTCCCGTCAGTTTGTTTCTTTCCAAGTGGAGGGAGTTGAGGTTCGGCAGCTGAGAGAGCGAGTGCGGGACCGGTCCCGCAAGGCTGTTGAAAGAGAGGTCGAGGGATAGGAGGGTCTTGAGCTGGCTGAGAAACTGCGGGACCGGTCCCGAAACGTTGGTCCAGCTTATGGTGAGGTAGGTGAGGTTTTTTAGTTTGGTTAGTGTTGGTGGGATGGGTCCTCTGAGGTTTTCGTGCTTGATGAGAACTAAGGTTTGGAGGTATGGAAGGTCGCCGATTTGGGGCGGGATTTCGCCGGAGAGACCGCCGGAGATGGTGAGGGAGTTGATGCGGTGGGTGGTGCCGTCGCACTTGAGGAAGTACCATTTGCAACAGTCGGATTGTGGGTCCCACGAGGTGAGGACGTAAGGATTATTGAAGGCTTGCTTTATTTGGAGGAGGACTTTCTTGTCTTGGGGGTGGCAGAGCTCGGAGTGAGAAGAGTGAATATTAATGGTGGAGAAGAGAAGGGTGAAGATAAGAAATGGCCGTGTGTCCATTTTTTAGGGCTAGAGATTATGTGATTTGTTTGTGACTGGATCTATAAACAGGTTATATTGGCAGTGTTAACGTGATAAAAGTACGTGAATGTGATGATAAAATTTGAGAATCATTGCGGTTGGACTTATATGTGCAGTGTTAATTACGTGGAAAGCTGAAAAAGAGTTGGAACAAGACATTTTGATCAGTACGTACGTAAAAGTCGTTACTATTGTCACGTGATTATGTACAGACGATGGACGCAGTGTATGATTATTATTAGAGCACCTCTACTCATGCTTATGGAGTTAAAATCCCACAAATCCCGATACTCATCTGAAGTGGGTTTCATTAGATAAATACTCTAGCGGTTTGCGCGTGCATTTGCGCGCGCTGTAGTGAAAAATAATTTTGTGTTGCTGCACATAAATGTCATTTTGTCATAATTGAAATATATATTTAGAACATATTAAACGAACAACAAATAATTACATCAACAATTCTATGGCAAGGGATGTACAAAATTTGATATTTGTGCCTATAATTTATTGTAAGTAATATAAAAATATTTACAATAATCACATATTTACCATAAGAGAAATTCATAATTTACAATATTAAATATCATTATGTATAGAGTAAATCAATAAGGTAGAAGTAGTACATGAATTAAATCTATGAATAAATAATAGATAAAGCGACCAATTTATATTTATATTCTTCAACTATCTGGTCCATTTATAAACAGGTAGACAAAAAATTTCTCATAATAAAAGCTTATTATGTTAATTTTATAAAGAGGAAGGCCCAAACACAAACTAATGGTGAGATATAAGTGAACAAATAAGTAATAAGAAAGATTCAATGGGAGGAAGTTGATAAATTATGAATTTGATAATGCTTTTACATACTAATTGTGGCTTAGGTATTAACTGTTGTCAGCAAATGCATGGTAAATCAACTGACTTGTATTTTTATGGCTATTTTATGGCTGCCTATCAATGGCAACTGCATAAAGGCACAAAAATTAGTCAGATGTTATATTTGCCATGCAGATTATGACATGTGTGACACAAAATAAAGGGTCAAAGTAAAGTATAAATATGTCCAAAAAATACCTGATGAATTAAAAGAGAGGAGAAAAACAACAAGATTAAAAGGACAATGAGGCTAGGTAGAAACTGGCCACACAATGAATAGTAAATGGCGCCTGTGTCAATAGTGCATAATGGGTCTGCCTTTTGTCCAAGTAAAATAGAAGAAGCAGGTACAATCAAAGCATCAAATAGCCAATTAATAATACTTAGATTCCATTTGGGTCGAGGACATTTGGAAGGCTGAGGCTAAAAACAATGGGAAAAACGAAAGCATATAGAACAAAATCAGATAGGGAAATCGTAGGCCAAGGGGAAAACTCAAAAGCCTTTGTAAAGCAAAGCAAAAAGAAACAGAGAAATAAATGGTACAGGCAAAGCGGGGAGAAAAAGAAAAATGATGTGCTCCAAATAGAGGACTTAAAAGAGCAAAAAGAGATGGGATAAGAAGACATATTATATGGAGGAATAGATTTTGAATCAAATACTTAAAACAGAAATATTAAAAGCCAAAAATTAAGAAATGAAAGAGCAACAATGATGTTGTTTATGTGTTGAAAATCAAAGTTCATGAAATCATGAAAGAAATATAATGGAAAAACCCAATAAAGAAAAAGATAAAAAATGTGAATTCAACTGAAATAGGCATCTCAAATGCCATAACCTTAAACTAAATAAGAGCAAAAGAACAAAGGGAAGGCATTTAAATTGTTTTAGTAAAAAATATACAAAAAATCAAAATTCAAATAGGAAGAGTTTATTCATAGCAATTTTTGGATAGATTAATTCAAATTCAAAAGTCCAAAACTGATTATGATCATCACTGCCACATGCCAAAGAAAAGAAGAGAAGATATTTAAAGTGTTTTAGTCCAAAAGGATAGGCAAAATGAAGATCCAAATAAGGAGGTTTATTCACAACAGTTTTTGTACAAGTTAGATAGAATTGAGAGCCCAAAACCAGTTGTAATCATCATTGCCATGCACCAAAGGGAAGGAAAGATAAAATATGCTAAAGAAAAATAGGTACACATATATATGTGTGACTATAGAAGAAATGACTAAGAAATCAATATGCCATCACTATACAGTAATAAACATAAAGACATAGTCACGACAACAGAAAGAGATTTTTTTAAGCACTATAACAGACAATAGGAAGTAGTAGCAGCAAAAGTAACCAATACATTCAATATCAATAATAAATATTGAGAGCATATGGGCAAAAGTCTTCAACAATGCCTGCAACGCTATGAAAATTGCCTTAAACAGGGAATATGGGTGAATCAAACACAGGTGAAAGAGATATAACTTAAAAGACTGAGCAGTAAGTGGACGAAGATGGAACCAGGCAACCAAAAAGGTAAAAATGTTAGAGCAAGGAAAAAAAGGGGAATAAAAAAGATATTAAGATACTTGTAAAGCAAAAAACTACAGACAAAATCTGAGTCTGAAATTAGAATCCACATAAGTAGAAATACATTTGGGGCAATTTCTGAATAAATTACATGGCAGCAAAACTGATAAAAATGGATTGCAGCAATCATTAGCATAGATTGAAACCAAGTAAGGATGAACTATGTTAGGTAAAAAGATATATATATATATATATAT